TAATCTCTCATAAGCACACCTCAGAGAATAACATGATCTAGATAAGCCCTCAGAGGTGTGACTGGAGGAGTGTCCCTTGACTGATTCTAGATCTTATCAAGTTGCAAATCAATATTAGCCATCACACAAAATTAATAACGAACTATAGAAATGATCCCTGAAAGTATAGTCTACATACAAAATTAATAAAATTTGCTGTGTAGACTGCCTGTGTAGACAGTGACACTATTCCTTTTTTTAATGATATCTCAAATACCAATGAGCCATGTTTGAAGACAAAGTACATAAAACATAGGAGTATGGACTTACTCCTTTCCCAGATGTAAGCAGCAATTTGCTGAGAATCTCCAGGACAGGATTATGAACTCCATGTAGAGCAAGGCATGGTGCAGAACCCTTCTGACCCATGTTTTACTTTATTAAATCAGAATCCTACCCAAGCCACCTCAGGAACTGACCGATGATCATTTTTACCAAAGAGAAGGCAAGAGGGAAACAGAGAGATAGAAAGACAGAGAGAAGGAGAGAGAGAGAGAGAGAGAGAGAGAGAGAGAGAGAGAGAGAGAGAGAAGAGAGAGAGAGAGAGAGAGAGAGAGAGAGAGAGAGAGAGAGAGAGAGAGAGAGAGACTCCCTAAGGACCCATTGAAATGGAACTTACAAAGTCAACGGAACTGTAAATATGGCTTTGTGTCAATTCTTAAGTGTGGCTCTCCCTCACAAGACCACACTATCCAAAAGATCACTCCAAAAACTCTTCTTAATAAACATCAGGACTAAGAAAGTGGGTTAACAGATAAAGTACTCATCTTGCAACTATCCCTTTACTTCTGCATTATAAAGCCAGTTGCAACAGTGCATGCCTGTAGTCCAGTGGTTTAAGGCAAGATAAAAGGCAGGCAGCTACCTATGATTCTATGTGTATAGAAATCAAATAAACACAGACTTCACAACTTTCAACTGAAAGTGACCTTAAACTGTTATGTTTCTGACCCTCTAGCTACTGATATTTCTTTAAGAGAGGCTTCACGTTCTAGAGTTCTCTCTGCAAAGGGAGGTGATCTCCTGCAGATCCTGCTATAGCTCTGCAGCCTTCATGCTCCCTTGTGTTTTCAGGCAAATCCAGCCCCAATGATGCCCACACAGAAAACACTGTAGAAGAATAATTTAATGTCTGATTCCAACCACATAATGTCACAAGATGTGGCATCTGCCCTATCCACCTGCCCAAAACCATGCAAACCTGAGATACCTCTGTAGCTCAGAACTTTCTTTTGTCCCCTGGAACTGACCTTCACTGAATCACACCATGGTGGCTGGCAGTAGCAGAAAGCTAAAAGCATTCTAATCATGTATTGCTAAAGGATGATCCCCATCACTCCCTTTCTACCATTTTCTAAACTGTCTGTAACATTTATAAGACAAACCTGAAAGGGAAATGTAACATCCAGAACTTGCAGAAACCAGACCTTCAGTTTTCCAATCTGTCTTCCCAGATTCCCACTGTCACAGAAGCAATGCCTGCGTGTGCACACTGGACAGTGATATTACAAGCATCATAGCCTCCCATGCCAGGGTGGCAGAGCCTTCTCATCCCCAGAGAATCCACACTCACTAAGGATCAGGGGCCAAGGGACACTGCCCAGGTTACTACAGAGACCAACAGAAACAGTCTGGCTCATGGTCTATCCCAGTCCCAGCAGTTCAGACTCTGACAGCTCAGCCAACCTGCTCTTCCTGGACAGTGGACCCCCACACTCACCATGGCATTCCTTAGAATGTCACCTGTGGTATTCCTTAGAGCTCCCTATAGCAGAAGCAGAGGAGAATCCCAAGGAGAACTTGGAAGTTACCTCCCACTGATGCTACTGATAGCTAAGCCTTCCCAAAGCTCCTCATTAGTTAGGACCACCCAGTTGGACCTCAGGACATTAGCAGTTACCCTATTGGGTGAGCAGAGATCCAATGACTCAAACAGCACAAGCCTTCCCAACTCTGCCCTTCCACACTAGAGTTGGAGGTATCTAGTCTGAGAAACTTGTAGTTTAGAGAATATTCCATTCTCTAGAGCACTTCCTATTCCTCTTTCAAGGCACAGGGTCCTTTGCATGCACATTCCATTACACACTCAATGCCCAGTGAAGCCAACCCTTTGCTTCAGGGCTGGGAGGTCCTGAAGCCAAACACAGGTCACATTCAAACAGTAACTGTTGTTAAAGCAGAAACAGGTCATGGATTAGGACACAATGAAGGATCTATGGGAGGGCTTAGAGTCAGGAAAGAGATAGTGAAAATTAGGTAATCATAATTCCAAAAATTATGTTGGAAAGTTGAAACAGGCTTTATGGCCATGTGCTCCAGAGACTAGGGATGTGTATTAGAGCACACTAAGTACTACTCATGCATTTATCCCAGGCTGTACATCTTAAACCTGGAAAAGAGTCACGTTAGGCAGGGCTACACCATTTTATCCAGTTCTTCTATTTAGGTTGAACTGGTGTGACTACTGTAATTTTGTCTCACAAAAATTCAGTTCTTTATCCAGATTCTTGATTATCTGGTCTGTGAAACAGAGAAATGGTCAGTCAGGACATTTACGGAATGTCTAAAATCGATGACCTCACTACTCATTGCTACTGTCAACTCCTGTCACAGCAGGAAAGCTTTCACCTCCTTCTTGCCATCCCTTTCTGTGCTGTGACTACACCTGCTTTACTGTGGGTCAGTGAACTCAACTCTTACACAGGTCCCACTTCATCTGTAATTTCACAATGAAATCTAGAGAGGTTGAGGGTACTCATTCACTGGTCTATTTTCCATCTCACTGACCAGTCAAGGTCCAGTGTGGAAGGATTTGCAGGACTGTCTTCCCAGCACTGGGCAGCAGAGGCAGGATTTGGTGTTCAAAGCAATCCTCAGTTTTGTAGTGTGAGGCAAGCCTGAGCTACAGGAGACATTGATCTAAACCAGTGGTTCTCAACCTTCCTAACGCAGTCACACTTTGATACAGGCTCTTATGAGGTGGTGACCCCCCAACTATAAAATTATTTTCACTGCTACTTTATAACTGAAACTTGGCTACTGTTATGAATTGCAATAAAAATATCTGTGTATTCCAATGGTTTTAGGCCACTCTTGTTAAAGGGAGCCTTATCCCTCAAGTTGAGAACCACTGCTCTATAAATCAATATAAATAAATAAATAGCACCTAAGGAAATAATGGAATAAAATTCTTAATGGCTGGGAAACATTGGAAAATAAAATAGAGATTCGAGCTGTAATGCATTTAAAGAAAGTGAAATTTAAAAAATGGTACCACTAATTGACTTTTTAAAATGATAGAAATGATTGGAAGAACACTTAGCAGTACTGACTTTGCAACAGAGTAGGCACTTCCCTCTTAGAGAGAATGCCATTTATAAGACACTGCATGACTTTCCCATGTAAAGTGTCAGCTGCTGGGTGCTATAAGCTGACACATGGAGTTAAAGCCAATGGCCTGTGTCTCAAACCTCTGAGCTGACTTAACTGTGTCAACCAGGAATGCACATATCTGCATAGGAGAGTTCCCTAACTGGAAACTGAAGACTCAGTACTTCAAGTTACCCTCCCTAAATTGTACACCCACCAATTCTGCCTATCTTCATTCACATGGTAGGAATAATACCAGGAGTTAAATTACACAGAAAGTCACTCCCCCTGCCCAGCGGGTCCTTTTTTATGATGGAGAACTCTGCAGCTCGCTGCCTTAAACTCCAGCCCATGATCTAGCTATTGCCTAGTCTGTTTCCCCCTGCAGTGTACACAGGACACTGTTCCTCCTCTTCTGGCCTGAAGGGAGATGCCATGATCCACACACAAATACTTTCCTGTTACTGCAATGGACAGTCCACTATGTGACTCAAAGTGGTTACTTTAGAACTCGGTGGTGCTACAGATCTGCAATCCAAGAATTCCTGGTGCTTAGTCAGGACAATAGCAAGGGGAATGCCTGCCCTGTGGTGATACAGACAGGGTTCAAGTCCACCTCAATCTACATCAGAGACCTTGACTCAAAACCACTTTTCAAAGAGACTGGAGATGCAGCTGCTCTAGACTTAAAATATCCTTGAAGGCACACCAGGACTTAATGTTGGTTGTGACCCTGTTATAACCCCTTGAGCAGCACATTAGAAGCCTGTTCCTTGACAGGGGTCAGAGAATGGGGAGACCCTTTTGGCTGGTTGTAAACCAGGGTTTTCTCCTTTGTTATGGGAATGTTGCTTAATAGCTAGTTAATGCTGGGGAACAAGTATTTACATCTTATACTAATCTCTAAAAGGCACGGTTAGCATACTACTTATCTTAGGGATATTTGAGCGACAGCCCTCCCTAAGCTTAATTCTACTTTGTGACTTAATGACTCCAAAGAATGGGTAAATCACTATACCATCAATTCTATTACTATCAATTCTACTCTTCTACATCACAGTTTAGCAGTGGAGTGCTACTCTACACGGGAGATGCCCTTTACAAGCTCCACAAAATCAACTGCAGACAGATACTAAACCTAAATGTTAAATGTTTAAAGTGCAGAACTCCTGAAAGATACTAGAGAGACCAGGGCTCTCCCATTTTGGCAAATCTGCCTTCCAAGGTGACAATACAAGCACTACAGGAGCCAGCATTTCACAGGGACATCAACAACAAGAATATTTCTAAGTCTTGTTCCCAATGCTCTGCACAAACACAGCCCACGGAGTTAAGTTATTCAGAGGCTTCTTCCCCAGCCCACGGGGTTGCAAGGACCATGTACAACACACAGGATCAGGAAGAAACAGGCGCGACACGCTGGACCGAGAAGGAACACGTGGGACTCGCAGGACACACAGGACCAGGCAGGACCACACCAAACTCTGCGTCTGGCTGTTGGCTCCCACTCAGACCCGGGAGGACCCAACACCCGGTTCCCACGGCTCAGCCGGCCGCTCCTCCCAGTCTGGGGAAAGCATCCCCTCGCTCACCATGGCCGGCCACTCCTCCCCGTCTGGAAACAGAAGCCCTTGATCACCGTGTCGCGGGTGCAGAGAGCTCCAGCCTCAGCAGAACCCAAGGAACAACACATGAGCCAACTTCCGATTTCCTCAGCACAAGAGCTGAGCGGGAACCCTAGCGTCGGGAGGATGAACCCTTCCATCTTACTGGAGGATCTGCTCGAAGCCCTGATTGGCTAGTGAGGGCTGAGTGACAGGATCGGGTGAGCTGAGGGGAGGCAGGTCCAGTGGATTCCTGCCCTAGCGTCCACCTTAAGCACAAACCTATCCATAAATGCTGGAGATTTGCACCAAATTCCACAGCAAGTCTCTACTTTATGTAACCGATGGGTTCAGTTTTAAAAGAAAGTATACAATTTCAGAAGGAGGCTAATCTGACAATATTGCACAAGAGTAACACAAGGTATCTCTAGAACATTATAAACAAAGTCCACAGTGGCTGGGACTGATTACCACAGTCCCAGGTGTGGAAAGAGATGGTCCGTATAAACACCTAGTTTGCAGCAACACAGCATGAGGCTGTGTCTCTGGGTCTTTCATCCTTTCACAGAACTGCTATTTTTGTCTGACCATTCTCAAGTCTCATTAAATAATTTTAGGAGAGCCCACTTGAGCCATAAATGGGAGTACAGAGGCAGGAAGACCACTGGCAGTTTGAGGAAAACTTGTGCTATATAGACACACACACACACGCACACACACACACACACACACACACACACACACACACACACACACAAGCACGAGTGAAATAAGAACAAAACTAAATTATGAAGAGCACAGCAGATTCAGGACGATATCTCTTTAAGTCATTTCAGGTGTCACCACTGGTCCCCGTCAAATTATTCTCAGAAATGAATGTAGCCAAGAACAGTAGGTAGCAGAGCCAGGCAGATTTCCTTGAATTTGAGACAGATTGGTCTACATAGTGAGTACGATAGTAAGACATGTCTTATAACACACACACACACACTCACAAATACAGTTGAATATAATTTTGCTTTTTGTTTGTTACAGGATCTCATTAAAAAGTTCCAGCTGGCCGGGCGGTGGTGGCGCACGCCTTTAATCCCAGCACTCGGGAGGCAGAGCCAGGCGGATCTCTGTGAGTTCGAGGCCAGCCTGGACTACCAAGTGAGTTCCAGGAAAGGCGCAAAGCTACACAGAGAAACCCTGTCTCGAAAAACCAAAAAAAAAAAAAAAAAAAAAAAAAAGTTCCAGCTGGCTTAGAACACTATCTACAAACAGCTTAATAAATAATATATTGAATATTTTAAAACAAATTCCAGCAAACATTTCTATACCGTTGGCTCATTATTCAAAGCATGGCAATTTTCTATACAATATGGAGCTTCCAAGGAATTTTCTTTATATTTACTTATATTTCAAGAGAACTGGAAGTGGGAGAAATTTTACAGCTTACATTCCTAGGTAGTTTTCCTCCATCCAATGCTGTGGGATGGTCTGTATGTCAAGTGTGTTGCTGATTGGTCAATAAATAAATCACTGATTGGTCAGTGGCCAGACAGGAAGTATAGGCAGGACAAGGAGGATAATAAAGCTGGGAAGTGGAAGGCTGAGTCAGACACTGCCAGCCACCACAATGACAAACAGCATGTAAAGACTCCGGTAAGCCACGAGCCACGTGGCAAGGTACAGACTTACAAAAAATGGATTAATTTAAGCTGTAAGAACAGTTATCAAGAAGCCTGCCACGGCCATACAGTTTGTAACCAATATAAGTCTCTGTGTTTACTTGGTTGGGTCTGAGCAGCTGTGAGACTGACAGGTGAGAGAGATTTGCCCTGACCGTGGGCCAGGCAGGAAAACTCAAGCTACAATCCAATCATTCTATAAAATCAATATCAATTTTTCTTGAACTTTTTCTAATTTAGAAACATTTTAACTAGTTTGTTTGTAAATTGAGCTGTTCACACATTTTGTTTTATGCTAAGATTCCAACTGTGGAGGCTGAAAGAATGCCTATTAGAGTAAATATTCCAGCTGCCAGTAACATAATGAATTTTTAAGAATTTTTTTAAATAGTTACAAATTTTCCAAGTATTGTATTGAAATTTTTGTAATACCACTCTTTTTTATATTTTTCTGCAATCGAAAACTAAAAGGATGTTGATGATTCACAATTATGACATTAATTGTTGTGCTATCAACACATTGAGTGAAATAGCTGTTATTGTATGTTACATGAAATAAAGAATGACTATACTGGATTACTGAGTTTTCTATTAATAACACATGAGGAGCAACAACACAAGCTTATGTGTGATATGATTGTATCAAAAGTAAAATTAGCTGAGATTTAAAAATATAAAAAGAAAATGTAGATGTTATGAATTTAATTTGTTATAACAATTAGAAGAAAAATGTTAATGAGTTGATGCTAAAAGGGATTTACTTCAAGTCCTAAGTGCTAATATTAACATATACAGTTGATGTGGTTTTGGACATTGAACACAGGGCTTTGTGCATTTTATGCAACTCCTATACTAACTGAAATACAGGACTCAATCCATAATTACTTTGCAATGCTCGTGTCTTATGATCTTTACATTAGTTATTGTATTCAATAAAGAAAAAGTCAACCTATATGTTAATTTTAAAATAAATAATAATTTTAAAAATGCACATGTCAAAGCTATAAGTGGAGGAATAGGATATGTAGACGAGACTGCTGTACTGTACCTGTGCCATGCAATGTTGAAATATAAAATAATTATGTGATCTTCCATACTTAAAAGAAACAAGTAAAATTAGCAGTGTTCTCATAATATTTTCTCCCTAAAGGGTAATAAATGAATCCTGTACTGCCTTAGGTAGGGTTTCTACTGCTGTGAAGAGACACCATGACCATGGCAACTCTTATAAAGGAAAACATTTAATTTGAATGACTTACATTCTTAGAGATTTAGTCCATTATCATCATGGTGCAGTGTGGTGGTGTGCAGGCAGACATGGTACTGGAGAAGGAGCTGGGCATTGTACAACTTGACCCACAGGAAAAGGAGGTGGTCTGCGACACTGGATGTGGCTTGAGCATATATGAGACCTCAAAACCCACTCCCACAGTAACAACCTTCCTCCACAAGGCCATACCTACTGCAACAAAGCCACACTTCCTAATAGTGCCACATCTTTGAGCTTATGGAAGCCAATTACATTCAAACTACCACAGGTACTAAGTATTAATACTCACAAGGAAGTATGATATGTTCTCCTGTGTGAGGAAACAATGCACCCATACTATTGAGAAAGAATATTTATTTCCACACCATAACTTATAAGACCATGAAATTTTCTGTGGGGTCACCCAAGGCCCCATGGTAGATTATATGAAGTATTCAGCTTACATTTAACCCAATGTAGGAATAATGACGACGTTGCTCCTTGTCCTCCAACAGGACACAGAGGAAATGAGGCACTTCTTTAACACTGGTTATGCTTTCTGAGATGCCTGTTTTAATAACTCTGCTTCCAATAACTTGTACAGGGTAAACTGCTATTTTTCCCATTTTTTCATTTGCCCAAGAAAAAGCCATACTGTTATTAATTCCAAGGCATCCTGGTGTTTTATTTGTTATTCATGGACAAATATATATGAATCATAAGCCTTATTATAATGAGCATAGTAAAAACATACATGTCTTTTAGACATGTAAAAATAGTTTAGTCAGGAACTCCACTATACCCAAGGCTGCACCTGATAACCAGAATTCAATGACATCACTCACTCAAGATAACCAGACACAGTCCTAAAACCCCATCATGCCCACTGGACAGTATATCAGCAGAGATCAAGAGTAATGCTCTGCTCTCCACATCTGGAGATATGCCACCTTGATCTGCACTGTGGCTGGGGAGTCTCCCCCAGGATCCTGACCCTCTAATCAGAGATTTCTGTCAGAGACTGGACCTGACTTTCCAGCTAAGATACACTGCACACAGCCCTGGGGAAATAGGCTTAGGACCGTAGTTAGGAATTCAGACAGTGAACCTTGTGTGATGGCCATCAGCATAATAAAGTATAACATTTGTTATAGTAACAATGCACATCCACCTTCTTGTTCATGACGTTTCTCTTTTCCCCACTTCCTCTCCAGCATTTGTTGTCAGTTGATTAGTGGGTCTTTACCTTTCTGACTGCAATTACCACAATTCTTACCAAGAGACCAAAACCTGTTCCTATTTCTATTAGAAACAGGAACAATTTATAATATCAACAACCTCCATCATTCTGATAATTACCAATATAAGTAGTTTTTAAAATACAAAACAACAAATGCCTCAAAACAACAGTTATGAGTTTGTCTGTCTCATAAAATTTCCACTTTTACCAAGGAGCTCACCTATGAGGATTAGCCAGGCTGCCCCAGGAACACTCAAAACTTTAGCAACTTCTTATTTTTTGGTCATGAGCCTAGCTTTTAATGATGGAGCCATCTCTCAGGCCTGACTCTAGCAATTTCTAAAGGCTCACAAGGCAGTAGAGGCCCCATGGAAAGCTTTGTAAAGTAGCTGGGCACTAGGAAGTATTTGGAAGGCACTTGGGCTCAAAGAAGGTTCTAAAGAGTAGCTTACAGGCTAAGCAATCAGAAGGCAACCTTGTGGTGAGAAGGTCCTTAAAAAGTGCAGATAGATACTTGCCTCACTTTCCCTGCATCAAGAGGTTTACCTGTATGGCCATGGTGAGCTGTTCCTGGGCTGTTCCCAGCATCCCACCACTCCTGACTGCTACAGCAGAAGCAGTATGACCTCCACATCTCTGAATTTCATCATAGACTTGGTTGACTCCTTGCTCAGCAAGACTCGGGTCCTGGAAATCTCCAGGGACTAGTTCCAGGGATGCAAGGGATCAGTCAGGGTTATGTTCCTGGAATATCTCCTTCAGCTCCACTGATATTCACAGATAGGCAAGACAAGAGCTGGGTTGGTGAACAGGGCCTATGAGCTTGTGCAGCCCCACCTTCCTGCCTTGCTGAGCCAAGCCTGCCAATCACCTACTAAATGCACCCTCTCCCTGATGCAAACCCAGCAAAAACTCCTCCACTCATCTCCTGAAGCACAGTAACCTTCAGGTACATCCCCAGGTAAGTCTCTCATAGAAACATCCACACAACATGCTCACAGAAATACCAC